CGGTCACCTTCATTCTAGGCCCAGTCACACTTGACATTCCTTCAGGGCCGTACTTATTGCAATCCCAAATATAATAGTGAAAATTCGAAAGATTCTGATCGTATCAAAAAGGAGGAAAGGAAATGCAAATTGCGTCAGGGAAAACAAAAGAAAACTGAAATAATATCAACCATGCGAGGAGGGAGCGGCGTGCCAGAAAGGGGGTGGAAAAAATAACAGAGAAGGAAACCAAGTGAAAAAGAAAAGGAAATTATAACACTCAACGAAAAGTGAAATTTCCGAGTGAGAATACAGCGGAAAACTCGCTGAATCGAGAAAATGCTGGTGCCGCGTAATGAAAAGCAACGAGTAGCAACCCCTGCGTGAAATATACGCGCGCGATACGTCCCGGCGAATGAAATTAAAAAGATGACTATGTCCCGGCGATAAATTCTACGCGCACGGTCGAGCTGTCGTCCCGGCGCGTCCCGGCGCGTCGCGACGCGTCGCCACGCAGGGAGCAAGAGTATCGCTGGAATTCCGCCGATGCTCTCGGCGATACACCCCTTGTTAGGGGGAAATTGAGTTTAACTATGAGTACACGCTCGCTCGCTCCCTTCTTCTCGTGTACGTGTCTCCGACCCCTCGTCTGCTTCGCTCCTTTTTATCGCGCGTAAGTCATCGCGAGCTTTGTCGTGCACACCGGAACGAGTAATTCCGATGGTAACGAGGGGTAACGATACCAGAAAGCACGATCCGTTGTATTCTTGGTGTGTAACCCGGGTCGGCTCGTTTAACGTCTGTGGTGTAGCAGGTGGCTGTAAGAATCCGGTTCGAGTACTGTCGAGAAGCTGTTATATGTGGGTCACTACTGCGGCACCTGTGTTATTGCTTGTTTCGTTATTTGTGACAATATTTGGGTTGGCATTGCGACAATACTTGTGTCGTTATTGCGACATTTGGGGCTATGCTTGTGTTATTACTCGTATTGTTATTGTGTCGATGGTTGGGTCATTATTTGTGTTGATATTGTGTCAATATTTGTGTTATTATTGCGTGAATACCTGTGTCAATATTTGTGTTGGCATTGTGATAATACTTGGGTCGTTATTGCGACATTCGGGGCTATGCTTGTGTTATTACTCGTATTGTTATTGTGTCGATGGTTGGGTCATTATTTGTGTTGATATTGTGTCAATATTTGTGTTATTATTGCGTGAATACCTGTGTCAATATTTGTGTTGGCATTGTGATAATACTTGTGTCGTTATTGCGACATTTGGGGCTATGCTTGTGTTATTACTCATATTGTTATTGTGTCGATGGTTGTGTCATTATTTGTGTTGATATTGTGTCAATATTTGTGTTATTATTGCGTGAATACCTGTGTCAATATTTGTGTTGGCATTGTGACAATACTTGTGTCGTTATTGCGTCGTTATTTGGGGCTATGCTTCTATTATTATTCGTGTTGTTATTGTGACAATGGTTGTGTCATTATTTGTGTTGATATTGCGTCAGTACTTGTATTACTATTGTGTGAATACCTGTGTCAATATTTGTGTTGGCTTTGTGACAATACTTGTGTCATTATTGTGTCGTTATTTGGGACTATGCTTGTATTATTATTCGTGTTGTTATTGTCTTGATGGTTGTGTTATTATTTGTGTTGATATTGTGCCAATACTTGTGTCATTATTGTGTGAATACCTGTGTCAATATTTGTGTCATTATTTGTGTTGATATTGTGTCAATACTTGTGTTGTAATTGTGTAAATACCCGTGTCAATATTCGTGTCGTTATTGTGTCAATACTTATGTCATTATTTGTGATGTCATTGTATCAACACCTGTGTTATTATTTGTGTCATTTGTAATGTTACTGTGTCAATACTTGTATCAGTACTTGTATTATCATTTCTGTCATTTGTGTCATTACGTGGATCACTTGTGACGATAGTGTACCATTACTTGTATTGCTTGTGTCCTTATTTAGCTCATCACTTACGTCATTTCTGTCACTTCTCGCGTGATTTATTCATGAAACGAATTTAAAGAAAGATTAAAAATTCTTTTATCTTGCGTCTCCATCTATAAACCCTCACACCAAAACAAAATGGCTGGATGAAAACCGGACGTCGAACGCAACTCGGCATACGTACATATACACACGGAGCCAGAAAAAGTTAAAAAGATGAAAAGTCACTTTGATCGTTTACCAAAAACCGGCCGCCAACGATTCAAAGCAAAAGAATCGGAAAAAGAAAACATTGAAAAAAAAACCACGCGACAAAATATTTCACCGAATCTCTCGCGCGATCCAGTTACCATTCTGTCGAGTGGAAATAAAAATTCGTCCCTGGCAATACCAGCGGATAATGCCAGGGAAAACAAAAGGACGCGCTGCCAAGGGCAAAACAATCGAGCGATTAAAAAACAACCGAATTCGGAGATTTTCATCCAACGAATATCCAGTGACGAATAATGATCGGCCAAATCCGTAACTCGCGAACACCCTCTAGCGTTTATTTTCTCTACCACTCTCTGTCCCCGGGAACAAAGCATCGTCGGTTGGTAGAGGATCGGATAAAAATTGCTCTCACGAGGGTAGTTTCTTTTTTTCCATTTTATACCTAAGACGACCCGGCCGCAATGCCGGCCAGAGTGGTCCTTAATTACGGAAATAAAAGCGGACGAGGCGGCTTTGTTCGGCGCCGCATTCACGCGACGCGTGAAACAGAAGCGGCGCGCTTTTCAAAAGAACCCGCGAACCGCTTTTCGCTCTTTCGCCTCCCTTTTCAGCCATTCGAGGGTCGTCGGTGACCATTTGACTCTTCCTGCTCGCGAATAGGAACCGCGCAGACAAACCACTGTCGCCTGTCTAGAGACGCGTTTCCTTTATCCCGCGGCACTCGCGCCGCTGCAACACCCTTTCGCTAGTCACCTAACACTTGTTCGCTTCCAAGCAAGCATTTCGAACCAAAGACAACGTGATTTTTACTTTTTCCTTTATTTTATATCTTTTTGGGGGGATTGCAGATGATACGAGTGTGCGGGATCTTGGGAAAATTTCCCAGAAAAATAGGTATTAGGTATAAATAAATATTAGGTAACATGGCGATCCTCGAAATTTTCAGGAATACTGAAGATTTTTGAGATCAAAATCTTTCAAAATTGTCCCGATTCTGAAGAAAATCTTCTAAGATTTGGAATATCTCTAAAAATCTTGGGAATTGTACGGGATTGCCAAAAATTTCGCCAACTGCCGATTTTTGACAAAATTAATAGTAATATGGCGATCCTCGAAATTTTCAGGAATACTGAAGATTTTTGAGATCAAAATCTTTCAAAATTGTCCCGATTCTGAAGAAAATCTTCTAAGATTTGGAATATCTCTAAAAATCTTGGGAATTGTACGGGATTGCCAAAAATTTCGCCAACTGCCGATTTTCGACAAAATTAATAGTAATATGGCGATCCTCGAAATTTTCAGGAATACTGAAGATTTTTGAGATCAAAGTCTTTCAAAATTGTCCCGATTCTGAAGAAAATCTTCTAAGATTTGGAATATCTCTAAAAATCTTGGGAATTGTACGGGATTGCCAAAAATTTCGCCAACTGCCGATTTTTGACAAAATTAATAGTAACATGGCGATCCTTGAAATTTTCAGGAATACTGAAGATTTTTGAGATCAAAGTCTTTCAAAATTGTCCCGATTCTGATAAAAATCCTGTCCTATCCTAATCCAACATTTTTTGGAAATTCCGTATACCTTTTGTACCTAAATTCTAAAATTGAAACATCGAATACTTCTATTAATTCCAATGAAATAAATTCCTTGAAATAATACCACACGCTATTTTTTAAAAATGTGACAAATTATCATTCACAATAGAATCTTCGCCTGAAATATTCCCAATGCTTAAATAAAGAAAGAAAACAAAAATTTTTGACACATTATCTCGCGAATATTTATTTTCCCTAACAACCAACAACGTCTTGTATAAAATATCCCAGAATTCCCAGAGAAATGAAATAAAAAATAAAAAACATGTTATCCAAAAAGAAAAATTACCAAAAATTAATTATACTTAACCCTTTGCACTCGAGATGCGACTCTCAGCCGGCATTTAATCAAATTCTAAAATTCGTTGTTAATTAATATCTCGAATTTAAAATTGCCCAACGACACGTGGAAATTTTGGTAAAATAATTCTACGTCTTACAATTAATTTCCACTTCTTATTAACCGTTTCGAAAATATCGTCGACTTTATGACAGAAAGTCTTCGAATTACTATGTTTCTGTAATGAAGAAATCTCCGAGTGCAAGGGGTTAATTTCGTTTTCTTTTCCCCATATATCGAGGGCAAATTAAAACGAAACCGAAAACGAGAAGGAAAACGAAGATAAATATCACAAGATAAATATCACGAAATTTGTTTCAAAGTATAGCAAAAAAATTAGCCTAATCATAAAGAACAGAAATTCGACTGGACGATGTGGGAGGAAATAGAAACACCCAGTGAAGGCTGCGTAGATTAAAAAAAAGATATATTTCTAAAATAGATATATTGTCGTAATATTATGAGCTATACAATCTCCAAACAGATATAGCTCTGCAAAAATCATACGACCGAAGGAGAAAGAAACGATACAATCTTCAACGGACATTGAATTTTGGGGAGACGTAACCAAAAGCAGAATTCCTAAAATCCATTTACAGATAGAGACACTCCGAGTAATTAATAATCCCCAAAAGCCAACGCACGTGTGTATAAACACGTACAAGCCGTCATCGTTGATCAACCGATTAATCCAACATCGATGCACATCAGCCACCCCACCGATTCTCAACATTTCTTTATAACGATACAGCATGCTAGAACCGTCGTCCCACCTGGCCTGACAATCATTATTAACAATTAAAAGTCGGATTTCGAACGACGAGGCGTATAACGTTCAGACTGTTTGCTCTCGCTAAAAAATCCCGCCGATCCACAGTGGTCCAGTATTTTGCAATCGATATAAAAATACTCTCTGTCTCACGATCATTTGAACCTTGAAAAGATCTTCGAAACTGTCAAACTCGAGGCTTCTTCAAACGAAAATTCCCGGAATTCTTGTCGAATATATAAATCACAATTTCGTATGGATTTTACAATGACATATATACATAAATCGATATTCGAAATCGAGAAATTAATTTTTACAGACACGACGAACGATTTCGCAAACATAGTCGTAGAAATAATTTACAAGGTGTATTACGATAGAGCTTCATGGAAACACGAGACCCACTTGCTTCGTGGCTAAGTTTGTGAAAAAAAAATTGAAACAGCGGTCGAAGAGACTTCAATTTCCTGTCCAAGTATACTAAGTTTATTATGCGCTGCAATGTCATCGAAGTCTACGTATCCGATACAGATTTTAGAAAATCGCTCGATGAGGAATGCTATTCCGACGAGGACGAAGAGCGCGAAGCTAACTTGCTAGTTACATACTCGAACAATTCGGAACTAGTATCCCTAGTACTTTCTTAGTACGCACGTTTATATCCGTTAGTGATCTTTACTCCTACTTCTAGCCGTACACCGCCGCTTCGATTCGCCAACATGGAATAACGTTTTCCTTCGTGTTCCCTTCGTACAGCTATGAATAATCGAGATCGATTTAGTGATGATAAATTTTTATTAAAAATAACGGACACGAAGATTTCCTGAGTTTCGTACACAAATTCTACTCTCTATACAATAATCCAGCTTCATCGAAACAAACTGAAATTCATTATCGTCGATAACATCATTCTCTAAAAGTTTATCAGTGCGAATGTCCAAGATATATGACGATAAAAGAATGCTTGTCGAAAACCATCGCCATAAAAGATGTTCCGCTTTCGGTGACGAAACGCCGCTATCTGGACCACTGCGCCGATGGTACGAGTGCCTAGTCTGTCCAATGGAACACCGGGTACATTATGGGAACCGGCACGTACTCCACCATACAGAAGTTGTTCCTGGGTACGAACTCCGTGGCCAAGGGATTCAGCGGAGTGATCAACGGAAGATTGGGCACCAGGCTGAGATGGTACTTCAAAGTTTCCCGGTTGATGCCGTGCAGATCAGCCATCTCCAGGTACCTCTGCCAGAGCTTCCTGCAGGAGCCGATGGTGAGCAAGGCCACGGGATCACCGACTACGGCCATCAGACACTTGGCCCGTGTCATGGCAGTGTTCAGAAGTCTGGGATTTGTCAAGAAGCCATAGTCTTTGACATTTCTCTCCGCGGAGTACCGGCAGCAGTGTCTGGTGCGCACGGTGCTGATGAACACGGCGGTGAATTGTCTCCCTTGGACGTTCAGCACCCTCTCGACCGACACCTCCATCATCCCACGGCTCCGCAGCTCAGCTCGGATCCTCTGCAGCTGTTCCGCGTACGAGACGAGGACGCCGATCGACTTCTCGTTGTAGGAACCCCAGCAACTCGTGGGCCAGTTGTTCCGAAGCTCCTGCACGCGGTTCACCAGCTCGTACACCTCGCTGATGTTCGCGTAACCTGTCGACTGCATGTCCTGATAGAAAAGAAAAGCAACGTTACTCTTTGCTAGGGGGTTTCCCGCTTTGAATCTTTGGGTTTGGGTAATCGCTGGATCGACGTAACGCCACTTATGGTGACGGGTAGGTGTGTTATATCGTGCTGACCTAAAGGTGTTACTGGTTGATATCCGGTGTGGTGGTGAAGATGAAGCAACAGGTATTTGTGGTTGGATCGGGAAGTATATGGTGTGTTACGAATTTAGCGAAGTAAGTACAGGAGTCATAGATGTGAAGTTTAACGTGTAGATAGGAGATCGAGAAGTTCTTCCAATGGAGGTAATGGCTCGAAGCAGGGATGGTTAT